TTAAGTAGAAAATAACAAAAAGAATATCTCGAGAACACCAACAGTTAAGTAGTACTCAGAAATTAGAAACATTTATGCCAAGCACCACCTTGTTGTGTGGCAGTTTCCTTGGAGATTGAAACATTCTAACCTGCAGGGAAGAGCCTTAAACCAGAAAGTAAACAACTCAAAAGAGCTTCAGGAAATCCCTGAAACTGACCAGATTCACTAGGCCTCTCCCTCCCAAGAGTAAATATTAAAGGCTACTAAGAGTAATTCCCAGGCAAACAAAGCTACAAAGAAGACTCTGAGACAAGACCAGCTGCCCCCAAGATGTTTAGACCAACCGAGTCTCTTAGAAATGATACTTTCCAGCCTGTTGTAGTTCAGGATGCAGTACGCTCCAGGTTCCCAGCTTTTATGAGCTGTCATCCATGCCAGGGTGGTCTTTGGTGATGTAATTGTCATTGAGTCATTTCTTCTCCTGTAAATAGACCCTCACTCATATTCCTGTAAGTGACCCTCAGAAACTCATTGGTCCACCGAATTGGACTGTGGTGGTATTCGTACTTTAGTCTGTCCTTGTATCCCTGTCTGAGGTGAGTAGACATATGTGTGTTTCATCTCCTCGGGAAAAGTCTTGTCACACAACACTTTAGGTACTAGACATGATTTCTGATAGATACAATCAGAACAAAATAGACAATAACCATCGAGGGCTTCTATTTCCATGTAGAGAAGGGGAGCACAATAAACAAAATAGGCCGGGCAGTGGTGGCACATGCCTTTAATCCCAGCACTTGGGAGGCAGAGCCAGGCGGATCTCTGTGAGTTCGAGGCCAGCCTGGTCTACAGAGTGAGACCCAGGAAAGGCGCAAAGCTACACAGAGAAACCCTGTCTCAAGAAACCAAATAGTAATAATAGTAATAATAATAATAATAATAGTAATAATAATAAACAGGAAAAGTATATACACTGTGAAGAAAGTTGAGGAAGAAATGATATCCATTTGAGAGAGGGGCATTTGAAGGAAGCCAAGAAGAGAAATCACCACTAAAAAGGTAACATTCTGATAAAGAGCAAAATCTAAAATCATTGATAGGTTATGCCATGAAATAGCTTTTCTTGGCAAAGAATATTCAAGATACATACATGCCTGGTATTTTCTAGGAACAAAGAGACCAATATGACCAGAGATCAATATGAAGAAAGTAGTAGGGGGTGTATATGAAAGACAGTGGAGAAGGGAAATTCAGCAGATTTGGGGCATTGTAAGGACTGTGCTGGATTTGGAAAATCTTTGATTTTGGACTACCAAGGGGTTATAAAAATTACAAAGTATCTTACATTATTTTCTTGGTAGCCTGCTCTTTTTCTTGAGCATGTAACTTCTGCAAATGACTTTCTAGATTTGTATAGCTCCATGACAGGAACTTTGTCCTTCTGAAAGACTAGATAAATTTGCTAAGTAATTCTCTGGAAGTAAAGGGCCACCTCTGAGACATATCTTGAAGAAGTGTGTGTCATTCAGAAAGTACAAGGTGGGAAATCTGAAGTCCCCTTTTCCAATGCTGAGGACAGTGTCATGGGTTGAAGTCAGTCTTTTTCTTATCACAACATTCAGTTGGAAAGGAAAGCTTTGAAATGATCATTTTAAGGCTATCAGAAGGAATTTACTCCTTGGCATTGAAAATACTACCACATTAACATAATCTCCTCATTTGGAATATGACTCACTGGGCAAAAAATGAGAGGAAGGACTGAAGTAAATAGGCTGTCTGTGGATCTTCCACACAATCATTCTTTAAGCAGTCTTATCGTTGGCATGGCTTTTAGTTGCCTCTTGGTTGTATATGATGTAGACTTTTAAACTGGAATGTATTTGTGACATTGGATCCCAGAAGGTGTGAAGAATAAGGGCAGTTAAGGAGAAAGGATTTGTCACCACTAACTCGATGGTGTCCTGTTCTATTAGATCTGGTTTTGCCTAAGTTTCCAGCAACTATTTTTATGATGACAGAAATGATGGTATCTTTGAGTACTACACAAATGGGAGAGATTGGCTGATGGGATGAGATGTAAGTGTTCTTAGCTGTATTAGGAACTTGATTGTTATGTATTATTCAGTAACAGCTGTGGAAACCTGCATTTTTTTTCCTCCTACCAGATTATGTTCTCAGTTGACACTACTGCATCTTGTTCTTGCCTGTAGGATGAGCAACTGGATGGACAGTGAGTACAAGTTGTGTCTTAAGAACTGTGGCAATTAGCTGTCATAGGACATTCAACTTCTCCATCAAGCCATGAGCTTAGTGGCTCCTTTGGCTTATCTTACCCAGGAATGTCAACTGCATTGCACACTGTACTCCTTTCATGCAGACATTACAAATAGATCATGATTCCCCCCTACACACATTGAGACTGTCAGGCCTCAGGGTCACCATGCCATAGGCAGCCATACCAAGTAATTGGGGATGGCACTCATGTTGAAAGTAATTTGCAGCCTTATCCTTAGAGTCATGGCCATGCCCCAGGCAACAATTCCCGATACAGCTGAGAATATTTGCATCCCATCTCAGTATTTAATTTATCCCATTTCTGGAGCATTCTAAGATACCGTCATTTGTGCCACCATAAAGTAGTTGCTGGTAACCTGGGCCCAAGTGACAGGGATTAATTAGCTTTTCAGCCTGGAGGCTAGAATGTACAAATGTCACTGTCCTTCTTTGTAAAGCCAGCCTCAGCCCTGGGAGTGTGGCTCTCTTTACAAGAGATAAACCCAGGCATTCAACAAGTAAAAGGTCTAGAGGCTCCTTGATCTGTGTTCCTAGCCACTTATTTTCTTATTACCTAATTCTGTGGGAGCATAGATCAAGAAATCTGTGTTTATCCGAGTTCTGATGAAAAGCCCAACAGTAATATTAGGCAACTGTGATGCATTTTAATCTGATGACAGCTTGTGACCCACAAATTGCTGTTTAAAATTAAATTGAATTCACAATGAAACTGGCAAGACAACTACAATATCATATTTGCGATCTGCTTTGACAAAACACCATTCTAAAGCACTGTACTAAATAAAAAAGTAATTAATGTATATGCAGCATACCGTAACTGAAATCTGAAATAATATATAGCAATTCACCTGTTGCCTTATGAAACTAAATTTATTTGAATGATCTTATTGTTAATCTTTTTGAAAAATTAGAAAACAAAATAGAGAGGGCTTTGCTTTGCCTTTGGTAAAAGGCAAAGCTCCAAGGATTGTCTGGGAATGCAGACTTCTAGGTTTCCCCTCTAATGAACCAAAATCCTCTATTTTCCTTATCCTCGGGGTTCATCTGTAATAAATTAGTAATGTTTTCTACACACTTAATATGAAGTCTATTTATAATGTTAAGCTTATAACTACCCAAGATGTATAAATTGCAATCCCCAACATTTGTTTATATATAATTATCAAAAATAACTACACTGATGTTTTTATCAGATAATTAATGATTTAACTTGGTAGCGATAAAAACTTTTTTTGGTAATGGTTACTTCTGTCAGTGGCACCATTAAATAGTGTGGGATGTAAAACAAGAACAGTGTGCATGTTTTTTATCCTATATTTTAACATTAAATAACTGCATATGGCAATTAAATGATTCATTATAGTTGTTTCCAAATATTTTAATAGCTAAGTCATAGCTTTTTCTCCCACTGATTTTCAAGACACCAGAGAACCACCAAAAACCCCACAATGTAATGCTGTAATTATAATAATTAACACACATATTTAATTACGGCCTTATTGTTCCTATATATCGTTTGCTTCTAAATTCACAGTACATTTAAGGAACAGCTAGGATTTAAAAAAAAAAAGTACTAAATTTCACTCCCATTATTGCATAGGTGGAAAAACAGCACCCACTCTTTTAAAGAACTACTACAGGGATTACAACTTCACAGCCATTTTTGGTGTGCTTATGGTCACGGTAACATAATACACTCCCACTCAGTGTACTTAGAGAAATAAATGCATGTGAACAGATGAGAACCAAACTCGAAGAAAAGCTACAGGGAGGCCGCATGGACAACTGCTGTCGCAGCAGGGTCCCTAAAACCTCTCTGCCATGTTTTATTTTGGGGTGTGTGTGTGTGTGTGTGTGTGTGTGTGTGTGTGTGTGTGTGTGTGTGTAAACCATACAGAGTGCAGTCCAGCATGTCTGTCTGTCCACGGTATTAGAGGGGCCAGGTGCCAGTGAATATGAAATTCCTAGGCACTTTATCTGGTTTGCATCCCTAGACCAGACACTGTTTCTTGTATCGAATCTATTTTTATTTGGTTGCACTCTCCCGCTGTCTCTCTTCAAATCTATCCTGGGGAGACAAGGGGAATAACTGCTAGGTTTCTGAGTGTGCTTGGGTTTCTCTTTATGGACTGCGGATACTGACCATGGTGCTGAAAGAGAAAAGAAGCTCCCGTTTGAAACCTTTCTTGACTCCTATTGGTTCAGAAAATTCGAGTGACAAGCGCAGGGGCCAAAGCAGCCTGGAGCAGCGTTGTTAATAAACCATACATTTGGCGGTTAGGGGCGGAGATGTGGCCCATCGGGTTAGAGCCAGGGCATCCCTGTGAGCGCTAGCTCGCTCGCTAAACGGGGAGACCTTATGGATGAGGCCGCTGCAGTAGGAAGAGCTCCATCCAGAAGGATGTCTCGTCTCTCTCCTGCAAACTGTGCAACCAAGTGCAAAGCCCAGAAGCACAAGCAGAGGAGCTGGATGGAGGGGGCGGGGGTGCGGAAACAAACCTATATTCAAATTTAAAATGTTCACTCTCAGTCGTGAAAGGTAAAAAGGAAGAGCTGATTTTAGCCTAAGTTTTCAGCCTCAGCCTTCCAACAGGTGCACGCTTTCACCCCTCTGATGCTATCCCAAACCTTCTTCTGCTAGGCAAGCTTTCCCCGGGGTCCTTAAGCCTGTTTCCCATCTCATCCTCAGCTCCAGCTCTGAGCTGAGCCCCGCAAGCCCTTACCTGCAGCGTGAAGATTAAGAAGCAGGCACAGTGCTGGGAAGCCGACTGCTCTCCCCATAGTGTGTGCATTGAGGGGCGGAGGAGAAACTCCGCCGCGGCGACCCCACTTCCGAGCAAAGTGCTATTTGAGAGAACCACTGCCCAGAGTCCTCTGTTCCCAGGCATCCGATGGCAGGGGTCCTCGGCTGGGGTTCGCAGAACAGTGTGTGGCGCCGACAGAACCGAGCACTGGCTTCACCTCCCTAAGGGGTGGGGAGATGGAGAGTGGGATGCTGCGGGTGATGGGGACTCGAGGCGGGCGGGCGGGCGGGGGGAAGGCACTCAGAGGAGGCGAGAGCTTGGCCTTCAGGCAGCCCGCAGCTGGTGGTGACAGTGGGGTGGACTCCAGCGCCAGCCTCCCAGCCAGGCAGCACCACTGCTGCCAGAACAGCTAGCAGCAGCAGCCCGACGCGCCGCGGCACTGAGCATGCCCAGCGCCGGCCCTGGCTTGGGAGTTTCAAATCGAAATTCCACCTCTCCGGGTCTTAGCTGAGGCTGGATGGCAGGGGGGTGGTGGTGGAGGGTGGGAGCAAGCTCTACGGGGCGGGGGGGGGGGGGGGAACGGGGGGGGGTGGACGACGACGATGCTCGAGGCGAGCTTTAGGCAAGCTTTAGGGAACTGGGTTCCTCCAAAATCTGGGCGTGGGGAGGAGTGGAGTGGGGTGGGAAGAGGCGGGGCCATGACTACAGAAACCAAGGAAGGAGCTGGAGGGAGCCACGCATCTGGGTTCTTCCTCCAAGCTAGGTTTATGCTTGGACTCAGCTCACGGTTTGAGACTGTTGGCAGGCTAGGCTAACCAGCTTCGCAGTTTGCCCCCACCCTACAGGAGCATGGGCAGGCAGTGAGTTCTGGCCTGCTGGAGCAAGCCTGCCTTGTGCAGGTTAAATGGGTATTCTGAGAGCGCCCTCTTCTTGCCCATTAGCTTTCCCCATGCTTCTTTCCCTCAATTCTTGTACTTCCACTAGATTTAAGCCTGAAGTCTATGACTGTAGTGGCTGAAAGCAAGGGGTCATATTTACCCAGTAGGGAAGGATGCTCGTGTAAATTGAAGGAAAGGAATGGTCTTTGCTGACTATGGAAATAATTAACTTAGGTTCCATCACATTATATATTATACATCACATATGTAATATATTATACATAATATATTATATTGTGTTATATATGGTATAATACAATATAATATATAATACATTATATGTGTATATGATATGATGGAACCTAAGTTAATTATTATACACACACATATATATGTATGTATATGGGTACTTCGCATGTATGCATGTCTGTTCACCATACCTGTGTCTTATGCCCTTGGAGGTAAGAAGAAGTTTGTTGGAAGCCTAGAACTGGAGTTACAGATGGTTGTGAGCTGCCATGTGGACGCAGGGAATAAAATCTGAGCCCTCCGGATGAGCAAGCCACTCCAGCATTTTCATCTGAATTAGACATATTGGGTCCAACTCTGTGTCTTTGGTGAGGCCACCACAAGCTGCAGAATGTGTGTGCTTTTAATCTCTTTATCTATGTCAGTAGGGTGGAGATCCTTATCAATCTAGTGGTTAACTACTCTAAGCCAAAACATCCCTCGGCCAGGCTCTCTTCCCTATGTGACTTCAGGACTGTTCACCATTCTGCTTTTGTCCATGGGCTCAGCTGCCGCTCTTGGTTAATGGACCTCACTTGGATCACTACCACAGAGGTTACAGAGGTCTAAACTTGCTCCTATTTTTTTTTTTATTTTGCCAGAAAGCTCTGGACTAACCTGAGATTATAGTGTTCTTCCTCTTCCCTGTTTATTAAGCACTGCCATATTTTTTTCAGACAGTTCGTTTATCTGTGGCACACATTTCATCAACTGCAGGCTCCTTGAGAACCTCTGAATTTTGCATTAACTTAAATTGAATAAAGTCATGCTAGCCAAATAAGAGGGTAGTAATGAGTGCTCATTGAATTGAGCTGTGCCTCTCATTCAGTGCTCTCTTCCTCCATCCCCTGAGGATTGAGACAGCTAATGTGAAACAAGATAACCAACAGAACCCAAATTAGGCAGGGCCTCACAGTATCTGAGTGCTCAGGCTTTACCATCTCATTCTTTTATAATTTATTTTATCCGCAGCTCTGAGAGACGAGGCCAGGAACTGCACTCCAACAGGTAGAGTGAGAGCAAGATGGCATGTATTTTTAATACCTTACCAGGCTTTCTCTCCTAAAAATAGAGACAGCTAATCCAGTTGTTCCTGTGGGCATGGTGGGCTCCATTTCTGTGGACTAGAGTTTCACTCAAACTGTCTTAAGCTGCAACTTTTCCCCTTACTCCAGAGTCGCTTTTTCTGTTTCCTTTTACCATAGAACTTTCTTATCAGAAATAATCAGATATATCCAGAAATATCAGATATATCCAGAGACTTACTTGTATTCTATAGCTTATATTCTCTCATCCACACTCCTTCTTTTGCCCCAGGATGTAACCTACACAATGACAAGGACCTTTGACAGATTTACTCACTATATGTTTTCCAGCTGCACAGAATAACACCTCCCACAAACATCCATGTTCAAAAACAATGACAGTCATCTGAATGAAAGGCTCTAAAACTGGTGGGCAGCCTGGCTGGAATTCCTACTGAACTGATCTATCTCCCAGATACGCTATGTACCTGGGCTCAGAGCTAAGAGGAATAAAATCCATTCTAGCTATGCCTCCTGGTATCAGAGCTGTTGCATGGATGGTGTCAAGTGGGGAATAACTTCCGTGTCATGACAGAAGGTGCTTCTCCCTAATTTATTCCTCTCTAAAATAATTTTCCAACTTATATAAGTCGCCAGGAAGAGGACGTTGCTACAGTAATAAAACTACACTTCAGCAATGCCCAGAATATTTTTGCTTTTCCATGGATAATTCCAACCTTTATTTTGGGGGAATTTAAAATTTCAGTCAACATAATTGGTTATGACTTTGCCAGCAAGCAACCTGCGAGCTATGTACTTTGCCCAGGGCTACAGGTAGCTGAATGAAAACCCACATGAAAATCTCTTTAACAGGAAAAAGTTTCCAGTTTGACTAGAGTAGTTCAGCATGGTAAAAATAACCTTGACTGAGCTGTTATTCTGGTGCCTGGATATTCAGATGACTTTCCTCAAAACAGGGGGAGGCCGGGCGGTGGTGGCGCACGCCTTTAATCCCAGCACTTGGGAGGCAGAGGTAGGCAGATCTTTGTGAGTTCGAGGCCAGCCTGGTCTACAGAGCGAGATCCAGGAAAGGCGCAAAGCTACACAGAGAAACTCTGTCTCGAAAAATCAAAACAAAACAAAACAACAACAACAAAAAAAAAACAGGGGGAAAAAGGACAAGAACGATGACCCATCAGTTGAGAGTGTCCCAGCACCCACTTCGGGGGGCTCACAACCACCAGTAATTTTGGCTCCAGGGGATCCAATGTCCTCTTCTGTCAGGCATGCATATGAATAAAGTAAAGCTATTTTTTAATTTAAAATAATTCTTTCTTACAATATATTCTGATCATAGCTTTCCATTTCTCATCTCCTCCCCCACCTACCAACCCATCCAACTCCACATCTTCTCTCTGTCTCTCTTTAGAAAACCAACAGGAGCTGGGCGGTGGTGGCACACGCCTTTAATTCCAGCACTTGGGAGGCAGAGGCAGGCGGATCTCTGTGAGTTCAAGGCCAGCCTGGGCTACAGAGTGAGTTCCAGGAAAGGCCCAAAGCTACACAGAGAAACTCTGTCTCAAAAAAAAAATAAGGAACGAAAACTAACAGAAAAAATAAAAAGAAACAAACCGAAAAGGAAAGAAAAAAAGAAAAGAAAAAGCACAAGAATCACACACACACACACACACACACACACACACACACACACACACACACACACCAAACCCATAATAACACAAAGTCAGGAAACATAATATACAAGCAAAAGATCAGTAAGAGTTTTAAAAAGCCCAAACAAAGCAATATGAAAAAAGTTATAAAAATGCCAGCCATCTTCCGATGAGTATGGGGCTATGCTTAAGTGTGGTTTATATACCCCCATGAGACTCCACTGAAGAAAAAAAACTAATTTTTCTTTTGCAAGCAGTTATGAATTGGAGATAGCTTCTTGGTTAGGAATGAAGGCTCTTGTCCACTTTCCCTGCTCAGTGCTGGGACCCGTTTGGTTTGAACCTCTGCAGGCCCTGTCCATGCTGCCACACTCTACGTGAGTTCATATGTGCCTCTGCCCTGCTGTGTCGAGAAGACACTGCTTCCTTGGTGGCATCCATCCCCTCTGGATCTTACAATTTTTCTGCTTCCTCCTCCACATACAAGCCCTGATGGGAAGGACTGAGTGGATACATCCCATTTAGGACTGAGTGCTCCAAAGTCTCTCATTTTTTGCACATTGTCCAGCTGTGGGTCTCTGCATCTGCTGCAAGAGGAAGCTTCTCTGATGATGACTGAGCAAGACACTGATCTATGGATACAGTAGAATGTTGCCAGGAATGATTTTATTTCGGCATTCTTTTAGTGGAACAGTAGTATCTGGTTTTTTTTCCCTTGGCACATGAAGTTAAAAATTTCTTTCTTATTACAAAAACATCAACAATTTTATATCGTTAGATGAATTGATCTATTGATAATATGCTTCCAATGAGCTGATCACATGGATATGAAGTAAAACAGCAATAAGTGAATTAAACAATTAACAGGGATGGGGCTTGGAGGAATTAACCTCAGTCTACTTACAAAGGATGTGATTTGCCCTGGTTTTTTTTCCCCTCTGAAATAACTAATTTCAAACTTACATGAGCTCCTGGGAAATAAGAAAGTCAACATGTTAAGCCTTTCAGAAGCATTATGTGCCTCTACAGAGGCTGCATTTGTTTGCCTTTGACCTGGTACTACTGAGTTGGTTTCATATTTTAAAGGAGAATCCTGGCAAACACTGCTTGGTGTTTTTAAAAGGTAGCTCCAATTTAGAACATTGTAGAACTTACGGTGGTGGAACCATACAACCAGTACTGCCTTAGAGAGCTGTGTCTTAAATGGAATTGTTTATATTGTAAAAGGTAAGTAGAAAACAACACTCCTCTGTGAGGTTCAGTTTCAGAGAGATTTGTAAGGGAGAAATTCTTCAGAGACTTGCCTCAAAATAAATTTGATCTGGGCTGGAAAGATGGCTCAGCAGCTAAGAACTCACTTACAGAGGTCCTGAGTTCAATTCCCATCACCCATAGAGTGGTTCACAACCATCTATAGTGGGATCTGATGCCCTCTTCTGTCATAAAGTCATACATGCAGATAGAGCACTCATATACGTAAAATAAATCCAGGCTACAATTCACAGCTCTAGAGAAACTAGTTGACAAGGAGGACTGCACTGAGAAGGGGAAATAGATGAGATCTCCTGGGTAAACTGTGGAGTTCATGGTAGCTCACAGACTCTGGATCAACATCTAGGGAGCTTGCAAGAGACCATTGTAGGCCCTCTGCATGTA